ACCATGGACAGTGAACCAAAGCGGAACTGAACCGTAAAAAACGTTTTCGGTTCCATGGAACCGTTGACCAAGCTGACTTTTTCAATATTATTTTAATTTCCCTTAAAATAAAATACAAATACAATAATAAAAATAAAAACATAAATAAACACAAAATATAAAAATATTACATCCCACAAATTCAATTACTACATTAGAATTACCAAAAAAAAAAAAAAAAAAAAAAAAAAAAAAAAAAAAAAAAAAAAAAAACTGAATCAACATTCAACAATCAACAATCCAAGAGCAGAATGAAAATCATCAGCAGCAATCAACATGTAACAGAATGTGGTGAATTTGAAATAATCCATTATGTAGCAGCAGCATCATCAGCAACAACAATGAGTCCTCCATTGTAGAAGCACTAATCTCAATTACCCAAAAAAAAAATTGAATTTTTAGAAGACAGTTACATGAATACCAAATTAATAATTATTTAAATAATTTAAAAAAGAAGAATCACTTGTAGTCTTGTAGAGTACATCCATATACAAAGAAACATAAACTCATGACATGAACACACATCAATCATAACTCACGCATTCAGTATATGGCTCACGGGGTGACTCGCTCTCTTAAGTGCTAAAGTACGGTGGTTCATAACCCTTCTCTACCATTCATATTGTGCCATAAATTACAAAATAAAATACACAATTTGAAAGGAAAAGGTAAATAAAACAACAGAGACCGGAAATATAAAGAAAATCTGTCAGATCTGAAATACCTACCTACCAAACTGAGACCGGAAGCCGAAGATCTTTCAGATCTAAGAAGACAGCGACCACGAATCCACGAATTAGTGAATCAGTGAATCACCGAATTAGAGGCGAGTCGGCGCCACGAGAGTCGCGAGTGTGATCTGATAAGTGACTTTTGAGTTCTGAGACTTGAGATAGTGAGACTATGAGAAGGCCGAGAGGCTGAGACTGAGAGAGTGAGAGGAGAAGAGAGGAGAGGAGCGGCGGAGTGAGGTTTAGGTAAATTTAGGTTTTGAGTTTGTTTTGACTTTGAACTTTGGAGTTTTCATTTTTCAACTTTTGATAGACAAAGTCACAAAACAAAATTTGATAATTGACATCTTATTATTATTTGAGCAGATCTCTTATAACGGCCCACACTCCACACTTCCACAGCCCATAGCAGCACTGTTGGCACAGCCCAATACTTACTTACTTAGTAGTCCACACCCCACAAGTAATATATATATATATATATATATATATATATATATATATATATACATACCAGCTCGGTTCGGTTTTGGAACCGAACCGTGAGTTAGGAACCGGAACCGAAACCGAAACCGAAATTGATATCAACGGTTTCTTATTTTAGAAACCGGAATCGGGACCGTGAGAATCGTAAAATCGATTCCGGTTCAGTTCGGTTTCGGTTCCGATTCCGGTTCCCGGTTCTTTTTGTGCACCCCTAACAAATGTGGTCATACCAACTTTTGACATCAAACTGATGCAGCCAATACCTTCTCTTCCTCCGAGGTATGGAACTTATAACATGGAGCATATTAAATAGTTTATTATTTGATTTTGAAAGCTTATATTAATTAATAGTGTTTTAAGTTTGATTTGTCGACTAAAGTAACTAGTTTTTGAATAACTTGACAGACTCTAGTGGCCGTATGTCACGCTATGAAAGAAATGTCGGCCGAAGGCACAAAAATGGCAGTCCTGTCATTGGGCACTGGTACATCCACGCGTGCAGAATACAGTGCAGCTACAGCCTCCAAGTGGGGTATCTTGAATTGGTTATCTTACTTGTCCAATTCAATTCTTGTCATTCACGGTGATGTTGTTGACGTTCATGTTTCACAAATCTTTGACGCCTACAAATGCCCATAAAACTACCTTCGCATTCAGGTAACAAGGAAAAACACACACACACACACAAATATATATATATATATATATATATATATATATATATTATATTGTTATTAGAAGTGCTCTCTCATAATAAGGTATTCAACTCTTTATTAGCCATTAAATTAAGAGATTTATTAAAAAAATTATTTGACTTTTTACAAATTTTATAAACATTTGAAATAGAAAGTTCATACCCTTTTAATTTTTATGGAATCAAGATCTAGTTCACGAATTTACATTATAAATGCAACAATTTAAAACCGTTAATACAACAATTACATAAATGTGTTACGCCTAAATGTTGTATTTTCAATATATAAATGTCGCATAACCCTTTTTTAAAATTATTGCACGAGTATTGTATTTTGTAATGTAAGGTAGTGCCCGTGATCTTTATGAGAGGATCTGAATTGTTTGTCATTATAGGACACCAACATATTCATGTCAGTGAGAACAATTGTTCCCACGGAATTTTTTTATTATTTTTTATGCCACTGCTCATTTTTTCTTTTTTAGTTATATATGCTTATAAAATTCCATTATTACCTCCTTTGAAATTACTAAAATACCCCTCGTTTGCCTATATATATCTATTGTGGTGATTATCACATACATACATATTAATAGTTTCTTGTATACATATATGGATAGATTGATGATTTGAGGGGTGAGGAATCTTCGGTTGATATTGCAACAAAAAAGAATCTGGCAAAGCTTGTGGTTACTGGAAAGCAGCTATTACAGGAGAAGGTTTCAAGGGTCGATTTGGGAACAGGCAAGTATAGGGAAGTAGCTGGAGAACATACTAATGAAAAAGCTCTCGACATTTTTGCCCGGAAGCTTTCGGAAGAAAGGAAATTCCGCAGAGAGTTTTTAGAGAAGAAACACTCGGAAGAGAATTAAATTCATTTTCAAAGTTGAGTTGATGTTTAGAGATCTCTCTGTGATACACATTATTCCAACAATAAGAAGGGATGATAATTGCTGCACTTGTATCTTATTTTTATGTTTTTTTAATACAAGTTACATAGGGAGAGCATTGGGCATTCCTATCAAATAAAGTGATTAGTGGACTACCACTAGTCCTTATACGGCCTAGTTAGTTTTAATTTGTGTATTGTCTTGCTATGATTAATAATGGAGTATGGATTGATGTATTCAATTTTTTTCCCTTCTATATTGCTATGATCTATTATTGGTCAAGACTGTTTTACAATTCTTTTCGCTTTTGAAGTATTGATTCCTTTAAGGGTGAAAATCACCTCCAGTGAAATAGTGTGCCATTTACTCCATTTTAAAATGAGTCGTTCAGAAATAGCCACGTCACTCATGCTTGGGATGCATAGTAAGAAAATATTGGGATGCATAGTAGGAAAATGTTGGGATGCTCCTTACGAAAATGTTGGGATGCACTTTTACTTACAAAAATGGAGTAAATAGATTACTGTGTAACTAGAGGTGATTCTTATCCATTGATTTGGGTTAAATGGTGTTTCTGATCTATTTTGGGTATGCGAATGGATCTGGGCCGGGTCGGGCATAGTCCAGCAAATCCGACTGACTGGGTTGCTCACCATTGATGAGGTCTATAGTTAAGGCCTGTTTGGTGTAAACGGATCATTCCATAAAGGAAGAATGCCCATCAACTTACAACCTAGGGGCAAGAATGTAAGAAATTAGGGAAAGTGTAAGTTTCTATAAATAGAAGAAATTAGGGAGAGTGTAAGTTTCTATAAATAGAAGTTAGGGAAGGAAAGAAAAATAGATTGTTTGAAGTGTGAAAAAATCTTTTCTTAATATAGAACGGCATTGCATCTTCAAATGCTTGCACTGGTAAACTATGAATTTCATGTTTGGAGGGTGAGGAACAACAAATTTCTTAGAAATAAATCATTACCTACATTGCAAATGTTGAATGTAATCGTGAACTCAGTTCGATTGATGTTCTCGATCAAGAAATGCAGTTGCCCTCACACTGAAACTTTTGCCAATGAATGGAGCCTTCCAAACATGACAGACAAAAAGTTTCAGCGTTGAGACAATATGCTCTTGTTGATGCCTCCCGCCCATGTCTATGACTCTATGGTTATTTGGTAGTTTGGATTAGCAACTATATATGGACCTGAGTTTGAGTGGGCTTGTGTGTTTTCTTTGTCTATTTCTCTTGTTGGGCTTTGCTTGACATGGGATAGTCTCTGTATGGTTCGGCTTGGCCAGGTTCTTAAGGTTATGTTCTTTCTTGGTGGGCTTGCTAGTCCAGTCTGATTTCGGTCGTGGGTATTCCCAAGTATATGATTTTTCTTTCTTTAATGCATACTTATTTATAGGTAAAAAAATTTAATAGTAAAATCTAGAAATTCAGGATAAAAAATTTAAATATCATAAGGTCCAGATGCTCTTACTTCTGTATGCATGAAAATAATTATTTGTCTCGAATTCCTAACCTCATAGTAGGAGAAACCTTGTAAAAATCTTTCAAAAAGCTCTGCCTTTACATCCCCAAATGTTTCAATTAATGTATCTAGCATTCTTTTTGGTTCAGTAATATTGTATCTGGGTTCAAGTAAAGATCATTAATTAGATAAGTAGATTTATCAGCCTCGTAGATTTGTTTCTAACACTAATCAATGTAATTTATATATACTAATGGATATACTATTACTTAATTAATTACTTACAAAAAAAAAAAATTTATTGGTACTTAATCAACATTCAAGTATATTTGAATTCAAACCTTTGTGAAATTAACGGCGTTAAAAGATATAAACATGTGTGCACCCTTAATTCTATGAAGATTATCTCAAACTCAATGCAGAGCTCGTGACAGGTTAGATAGACATTGCTACTCTTTACGGGATCATCAATGTACAAGATGAAGTTCACGCCCACATGAAGTGTGATCCACACAAGCAAAGCAAACCGATCACCCTCCCTCGTACACTAAATCGTCCAGTACACATAAGAGAAACTCGATTCAGGGTTGCTCGACTCTTTGCACTATTCTCAAGTTACACTCTCAAAAGTCAAAATTGTGCATGCATGTGCCCCATTATGTTCAGAAGCACAGTATGGGACTAAATATTGAAAAGCTCCCAAAGTTCATTGTCCAAGACTATATTATTTATGCATCAGAGAGATTCACAAGACTTGCTTTGATGTTACAAACCTGCATTAGTTCCATCCTAAGCTTTTCAAGCCCTTTCCAAGATTACATACAGTTGGGTACATAGATTTCTAGTTCACCACCCTACAATTCTGCCTAATCTGCCCATCTTTCCCTGTAAGCACACCGACGCTGCTTAGCTTCACCATTGATGCTCCGAAATCCCTCGTGAACAAGAAAGGGTACTTGCTGTAATTGAGAACCATTGCAGCAGTCCTATTGTCCCCCATAAGAGCTTGGTCTGACTGCAGAACCCCGGATTTGTTCAAAAGGTTCTTGAAATAGATGTTGTCGAACTTAGCACTAGAAACAGGATCCAATGGAGCCAAGTTCGAGTCCGAAGAATCTTGATTCGGGCACACACTCCTCAAGCTGCTCAGAAGCGACGCATCGAGCGTTGGATCAGGATTACCCGATCCATCGAAATCAAAGAGCCTTGGCTTGAATGTGAAGCACTGAGCAAAGCCTATAGTGTGTGCACCTGTAAATAGCATATGGAAAAAGTCAGAACTGCTATTACATTAGATATTGAGTTCAAAGAATTAACTGACATTGTAATTTAATTATTTTCTTTTTTGTTGGCTAGCTATTATAATTCTGTTATTGATTCAGAATTCTAAAAATACAACAGAACTTTTGGACAATTAATTAATTAAGTTGATACTAAATATTTGGAAATTCAGAAAATTTCAATTTGTATATAAACAAAGAGAAAACAGACCCTTGACCTCGAATAAGCTAGCTAACAATATCATTATGTGTTTAACTATGCCATTGTTCATTAGTCCAAGCAAACATGAACCTCCATGCACATTGAATCGTTGATAGAAACAGGTCAGTTGCACATTTTACATAGCAATATAGGTAGGTTAAAACGTTCAAAATTAAATTTTAATAATCAGAAAAGTACAAAAAGAAAAAAAAAAAAAAAAAAAAAAGGGGGATTACAATTAAACAAAATTGTTTTCATAAGGTCGACCAAAATAGACCATGTATGGAGTAGGATGCATACCTGAGAGCACAACCACATCATTCATGTCAAGACCCTTTGAAGCAAACTTTGCAGTAATGTTTGCCAAGGGCTCAAAAGGCGATGGGAGCTCTGTGTTAGCCGCACTCTCACTCGTAGTTAAGCCATCTCGACGTCCCAAGGGCACTGACCAATAAGGCCCTCCTTGCTAAAAATTACATAGCAAAAATATAAACATTATCTACAGAAAGGAAAATACAAATTCTCTTTTTTTTTTTTTTTTTTTGAAGTGATATTTTTATAACTATTTGTATACATTGATCATAAGACTTAAATTGTGTTTAATTTTTAAAAGTAGAATATGGTAGAGAAGATTCCTACAAGAAAGACACCCTCTCTTGCTGCAAGAGCTAATATATCAGCACAAGAAACAGTTGATGGGCAAGCTTTCTCCACATTAGCCTTTATGGCATCAATGACTTCGAAACCTCTGGCTGAATTCATGTTCGGCAATGCATTCTTCTCCCCACCATCTAGTAATACCGACCCTTCACACCCCTATGCGCAAGCATTATAAATGGGAAAGAAGAACACGAAGAAAAAAAAACAATTAGTTCTGCCAAAAAATAAAAAATTCATAAATTAAAATTACTATTCGTTGTAAGAATATCAGCATCAATATTGAGGACCCTGAGTTTGGTACTGTTTTCTATACGATAATCTACGAAATTTTCACTCTCAAAATTTTCTCAATTGTAAGAACAATCAGCACTAATAAGGGGGGCAACAATTTTCTATAGGATGATCATTTTCCCTTCTTTGAGAATAAACTAATTTTAGAAACAAGTGCTATGCAGTAAGCTGCTACAATTTCCAAACAATAAACAAATAAATAAAAATCAAAAAAAAAAAAAAAAAATTCCCAATTAAAGTTAGAGATGGTTTTTAGGAGGGGCTTTAAGTTTACTACTCTTCTAACTAAATTTTTCTTTTTCATTTTTGTTAAGTGATTGAGGAGGAACAGATTCTATTTTATGGATATTACACATGAACAATGAGAAAATAACCATGTGAGAAAAAACAATTACATTAACGAAACAGTCATGGAATTGCAGGCGCAGGAGAGAGGCGGGCATCCTAGTATCATTCGCTATGGCTGACCAGACACCATATCTGACAATTTTGGTCAGGTTGGGACATGTGTAATCATAAAATTTATAATCAAGTTGACTACACACAAGAGGAACCAGGCAAAACATGAAAGGCAAAGAGAAATTCAAAAATTCATAATGACTTCGACTCATATCTAGAATGTGAACAATAAAATCTAAAATTTTCAACTAGTGTAGCGTGATAAGTAGAAGTGATGAGTGAACAATTTATACAGAGAGCAACCCTAAGGAGATCGAATGCGGCCACTGATCTTAATTATGTTTTTTTTGTTGAGTGGCAGAACCACTAATGGTGTTCCTATCAGATCAGTTTGGTGGAGTTCCACATTTTCTTTGATAGGTGAATGCACAGTCAGCCCCAACACAAGGACAAAATAGGATTTTTGAGTGCCAAGTTGGGGTTTGTCAATAGTGGATGCATATTAAAGCTCAAGTTGAAATGAATCTTCTGAATTATGAAGAAAAAACTGGCTTTCAGTGTGATGTTGTCACACTCTTTTTGACCTAATACCTTCACTTTTCAGATAAGTCAATAGTGCAGGAATTGAAAGCATATGTTTATCTAAACACCTACATCTTTTACTACTTAAGTGGAGCTTTTTGATATTCAGTGTATTTAAAACTACTAAAATGGATTAACTAAAGACTCTAATATAGAACCTGCAATGCAGAAGTAGAAATGTGTGTATATATATATATATATATAGTGAGCACAAACCACCAATTAGAGTGATATGGAGGTGGTGGTGGCTATCTAGTTGACTTAAGAGCTAAACGGACTTCAATTTTTTGTAAAGAAATAATTTAACAATAGCTAGATCTTACTTCAGCTAAAATGATTCTGTTATAGTCCAATTTAAATTTGCAATGCACCAACAATAGCTGCTGCTTTTGATTTGGACTTAACATGGCATGTAAATTGTAAAGGGAGAATGTACACAAATCAACATCCAACACACACACACACACACACACACACACAGAAAGAGACAATAAATACAATATGGTTAATCACAAGATGCATGAACAGGACTTGCATATATAATCTCCAAGATATTTATCCCTTTCAAGTAAAAACCTGCCTAACAGAAAACAGAGACCAGGATTCTTCTTTCCTAAATAAATATAATCTCCAAGGTAATTATCCTAACAAATCTATAAATGTCTTTCTTTTTTTTTTTTTTTTTTTTTTTTTGAAGTCACAACCACTAGATATAATCTTAAATTGTACAGATAGAAGCTATATAATTACTATAATAATTGTCTGGAATAAGTGTCCATGATTAAAGATCATATACATGATTATGTTGTGTTGGCAAACTTCAAAAACACCCTCTGCATTCAGTAGTTAAAGACATCAAGAGAGAGAGCATAGATGCACAAAAGCACGAAATCAAAATGGCACAAATTGGCACTTCCATGCATCTTCTGATTCTTTTCCCAAAAATTGGTAAATCATTATCATTTCTCCTCAATAATTTGGGATCTTTTCACTGATCCATCCTGCCATCTTGAAATAACAATAGAGTAATTGTTATAGGATTTATATATTAAAGTTAAACCTCCTCTAATAGATTAAGCTTTTAAAGTAGATGGTATTTACCAATAATAAATTAATAGACGAGTAAAACTATAATTTTCATATGGCGAGTAATTTGAGCATCCTAGTTCCTAGTATAAGATACAGCAACAGTAGGATGGAGGAAATGTTGACCTGCATTTAGAGAATTCTATTTACCATTTTGGCAGGCTTGAATTGGAGCTTCTAATAAATGATATCATGCTCTTCATATCAAGACTACATCTGAGCATAATCAAGATGGATATTACCAAAGGAAAAAAAAAAAAAAAAAAAAGCACTTCATAAAGATCTTGTAACATTAACTAGGGAGGGGAAGACTGAAGACAGACCTAACCTTTGACATTACTTTTGAAGTCATTTCCGACATGAATGTCAGGCTGAGCATTTACCATTGCACCTAACAATGGCCCCTTAAAGGTCAAACAAGTTAACAATGGCTACATAATTAGAAAGTTTTTAGTCATTTGCAAACATCAGTCAATTTGGGAGCCCCTTTAACAACTTGGTAGTATTTAATTCATCATATCTTCTATCATATTTTTTGAAAATACAGTGCATTAGTGCAGATGGTATGATTTCTTCTTTTTAAAGGGAAGGTCAGTATATCCGAATCTTGCTAGGGGTAATATTGTAATTATGTGTGTTTGCTTGAACATTCCGGAAAAAAAAAAAAAAAACAGAGACAGAAATTAGAGAAACAGCATTAGTAACTTTGCTCTATTATGAAAGGCACTCGATAAAAAGGAAAAGAACAATATGATAATGAGAAAAAGAAAAGTGGAGCTGAAATATCTAAGTGTCCCTTCCAATTAATTCAATTCCAATCCCTATTGCACCATCTATAGATGCTGGATATTGCTCAAAGAATTCAAACCAGACAACCTGATTATGCAAAAAGAGTAGAGAATCAGTCAACTAATCTAGAAAAAGTTGTTACCCACTTTCTCGGTAACAGAATGTTAAACAAAGAAATGCATTTTGAAAGACATGAGGAAGAGACAAAAGTTATGATGGCTTTACAATAACAATAGGTGCTCAGCATGATGAAAATTAATACTATTTGATGCAGAACAAGTTGCGATGGATTATTGGGAGTGGTTAAATCATCAAAGTTCCCAAATTTCGAATCACATTTATGCTATGTTTGCACTGGCGGATCCAGCATAGGGCTGGGCTGGGCTCCAGCCCACCTCAAAATTTTTTTATTTTATTTTATTACTATGTGTATCTTTAGCCCAGCCTAAAAAAAAAATTTATTATTAATATTAGCCCACCCAAATAAGCCCAAATCAGCTAAGCCACGATACTATAATAAAAGTCCAAGCCTAACAAGCCCTATTAATGATGAGTATTAGGATATGTAGTAAAACATATTTGGAGACAAATTTGTTGTAAAAGCCGTTATGAAATTATATATATAGAATAAATTCATAACTTCAACACTTTCAAATTATCATGAAAAATAAACAGAGCTCATGTGTTTTATCTAGAAAGTATTCAACAAATAAATAAAAAAAATCTATTGCATTATAAACTACGAAAATTTAATAATTTTGATCTCTAAGTAGACAAGGAGTATTAGTATAAAAGAAAACATCTAAATTCAATAATTTACAAATCAAAAGTTACTAGCTTACTATAAATTTAGATAAAACAAATATAAATGGGTAAGTGTTAGAATTTCAAATTGATTTATAAAATAAAACCACAAACAAAAATTACAATAATTCAATCTTTAAAACTAAAAAAACAAAATATGAAACGTGTTAAAACATAGCACGATGGGAGGTGAATTTCTTACTGATTGCATGACTGGGACCTTGTTTGAAAAATTGACTTGGAGTTTATTATCGACGAATTCGAGTCTTTAAAGACTCGTTGAATACAACTTAGATAGATATTTTGTAATATTTGAATTCAAATATTTATAAAAAAAATTTGCTTAAAAAATTGTGTTATTAAATTTATGTTTAATTTTAGCCCATCCTACTGACAATTCCTGGATCCGCCCTTGTATGTTTGGCTGCACCGAATCAATACCTTGAATTTGAGATTGGATAGAATTTAGTATAGATTTTGAACTAAACTTCCTTCAATCCCAAATCTAAGACACCGATTCAGTACTCCCAAACATAATATTATAAATTTTAATTTGGCAGGAGTTACGGGCATATATCTTCTCTCTTGTATAAAATGGCTGATCACTGGGTGCATGAAAAGGAATTGCATAGACAGATCTTGGCAAGAAAAACCTGAGAGCAAAAACAGAGGCAAGATTTCTTCTCTCCTGTATAAATATAGCCTCCAAGATATTTATCCTTAACAAAATCTTTAAAATGAATTTTTTTTTTTTTTTTTTTTTAGGTCACAACCACTAGATATAACCTTAATTCATATAGTTAGGAGAAAATTATAGTATCTGTATAATATTTGTCAGGAAGAAGTATCCATTTGATTAAAGATCCTATACATACTTATAATATGTTGGCACTCTGAAAACACCCACTGCAATGTGTAGTTAAAGAGATCAAGACAGAATACATAGACTGGCAAAAGCATGAAAACAGAATATCACAAATTGGCACCTTCATGCACCTACTAAATAAACTTTTGATTTTTTCCCCAATTACAATTGGTATAAATTATTATTTCTTCAAACTATTTGGGTTCTTTTCACTGATCCATCATTCCATCTTGAAACAACAGTAAAGAAATAATTTAATAAATGAGTAAAGCTATACTTTTCACATTGTGAGTAATTTGAGCATCCTAGATGAAGATACAGCAACAGTAGGATGGAGGAAATGTTGACCTGAGTTGAGATAAATTAATAATATCATGTTCTTCATACCAGGACTAAATCTGACCAAAGAAAATTAAGGGGAAAAAGAAAAAAGAACAAAAGTGCAACAATAAGAACGAACATGAAACATTCACTTCATGGCTCCCAGACGGTACGATCTTTCCTCCTTAAAAAGGAGGTTGAGTGTTCAAGCCTTTTTAGGGACAATATTGTGGGGGTGTGTGAGTTTGCTTGAACTTTCAAAAAAATAAAAATATCTTATAACATTAACTAGAAAGGAGAAGACTGAATACAAACCTAACTTTTAATATTACTTTTGAAGTCAAGCTCCCACATGCATGTCGGGCCAAGCATTTACTGTTGCACCAAGCAATGGCCCCTTAAAGATCATATAACAATGCCTACATAATTAAAAGTTCTTTAGCCATTTGCTCTCATCAGTCAATTTGGGAGCCCCTTTAACAAGTCAATAGCATTTAATCCATCATATTGTCTGAAAATATAACTAGGCAGTGAAATTATAGTAATAATAATAATTTTTTTTAAAAAAATGAGTAACTTTGCTGTATTCATTAAACACACTAGCTAGGAATATAGGAAAAGAAAAAAAGAAGAAAAATAAAAATAAAATAAAATAAAATAAAAAGGATACTTGCTGTAATTTATAAAATAGAATGACTTGTATAGACGTTAGATCTTAGCAAGAAAGGGTACTTTCTGTGCATGAAAATGACTTGCATGGACAGATCTTAGCAAGTAAAAATCTGAGAGAAGATAACAGAGCCAAGTTTTCTTCTCTCCCATGTAAATACAATCTCCAAGATATTTATCGTCACAAAAATCTATAAATGTATATTATTTTTTCTTTTTCTTTTTAATGTCAAAACCACTACATATAACCTTTCATAAACAATCTCGTTGGTAAAGCTGCATAAATCTGACCCTCCCAAACCCCGCAATAGCGGGAGTCTCGTGTACTAGGCTGGCCCCCTTTTTTTTAACAACTAGATATAACTTTAATTCATACACTTAGCAGATAATTATCATGTCTATATAATATTTGTCCGGAAGAAGTATCCATTTGATAAAAGATCATATTCATACTTATACTGTGTTGGCAAACTACGAAAACACCGACTGCATTGCGTACTTAAAGACATTAAGAAAGAGTACATAGAGGAGCAAACAACAATAAAGTACAAAATTAATGCATGAGTAAAGTTATACTTTTCATAGTTGAAGATACAGAAACAGTAGGATATGAAGGAAATGCTGACCTGTATTGAGAGAATTCTATTATGTACAATATGGGACTGAGTATTAAAAAGCTTCCAAATTTCATTTTCCCAAACTATCTTTATTTATGCATCAGATTCATATGACTTGCATTTATGTTACAATTAAAACCTGCATTCCAACCTATGTCTTTCAAACCCTTTCTAAGATTATTTATAAGGTCGGTACATAACCTCTGAGCCAAGCCGGCATACATAACAGAAATTGTACATGGATAGGAATTCAATAAACTATTGAAAACGTAGTCATTACTTATTATTTTCATTCTTAGCTATTCATGTTTAGTTCACCACCCTACAATTCTTCCTTATCTGCCCATCTTTCCCGGTAAGTACACTGATGTTGCTTAGCTTCACCATTGATATTCCGAAATCCCTCAAGACAAGGTAGCGTTCTTCGTGTAATTGAGAACCATTGCAGCAGTTCTATTATCCCCCATAAGAGCTTGGTCTGACTGGAGTAGCCCGGAATTGTTCACAAGGTTCTTAAAATAGATGTTGTCAAACTTAGCAGTAGTGACATTATCCAATGGAGCCAAGTTGGAATTTGAAGAATCTTGATTAGGGCACACACTCCGCAAATTGTTGAGAAGTGATGCATCAAGTGTCGGATCAGGATTACCAGACCCATCGAAATCATAGAGCCTTGGCTTGAATGTGAAGCATTGAGCATAGCCTATAGTGTGTGCACCTGTATGGAGCGATAAGAAAAGGTACGCTTACATGCAGGATTGCATATTCGAAACCAAAAGCAGGTCTAGCAAATTTTCTATGAAAATATTACATTAGATCCTGAGTTAAAAGAATTAAGTGACATTATAATTCACTTTTTTTTTTTTTACTTCTTTGATGGTTAGCCATTATAATTCTATTATTGATTAAGAATTCTACAGAAATTACAAAAAAAAAAAAAAAAAATTCGATAATTAGTTTAGTTGCCGCTAAATTATTTGGCAATTCAGAAAGTTCCAAACATGCAATCTTTTTTTGCATGCTTCACATTTGAAAAGATAAATATAATATATGTAAACCAAAACAAAACAGACTCTTGAATAAGCTAGATTGCCATCATGTGTTTAAGTATGCCATTGTTCAAATTGGACAGCAACTAGTCCAAGCAAACATGTACACTGGCCTGCATCCATATTGATATAATAAACCAGTCCCATTGAATCAATATTCATCTAAATGGGCGGTTTTAGTTGCATTTTCATTTTACATGGCAATATAGCTAGGTTAAAACGTTCAAAATTAAATTTGAATAACCAGAAAAGAGAAAAAAGATTACAAACAAGGGGGTTTCGTAACGTCAACAGAATAGACCATGCATGTAGTAGTATGTATATATACCTGAGAGCACAACCACATCTTTCGTGTCCAGACCCTTTGAAGTAAACTTTGCAGTAATGTTTGCTAAGGGCTCAAAAGGTGATGGGAGCTCTTGGTTAGCTGCACTCTCACTCGCATTTAAGCCATCTCGACGTCCCAAGGGTACTGACCAATACGCGTAGGGCCCTCCTGCCTAAAAATTCCATAGCCAAAATATAAATATTGAAGACGTAATATTTACATAACAAATGGTGTTTAATTCTAATATGGTAGATAAGATTCCTACAAGATAGACAGCCTCTCTCGCTGCAAGATTTAGTATATCAGCACAAGAAACAATTGATGGGCAAACTTTCTCCAATTTAGCCTTTATGGTGTCAATGACTTCAAAACCTCTGGCTGAATTATTATTAGGCAATGCATTCTTCTCCCCACCATCTAGTAGCACAGACCCATCGCACCCCTCTGCACCAGCATTATAAAAGAAAAAGAAAAACCACACTATAAAATAAGTTTCCGCAAACAAAAATATTCATAAATTAAAATTACCCTGAGTTTGATACTGTTTGCTATATGATAATGTATGAAAAATTACCGTATTCAAATTTCTCTCGGTTGTGAGAACAATTAGCATTACTAATAAGGGAGCCTAAGTTTTCTATAGGATGAAACAATAACAACTAATTTTAATGACAAGTGCTATGCGGTAACCTGCTACCATTTCCACAAATAAATAAATAACGAAATAAAAAATATTCCTAATCAAAGTTAGATATGGTACTAGTTCTAAATAAGTTTGTCTTTCTCATTTTTCTCAAGTGATCGAGGAAGAACAGATTCTGTTTTATGGTTTTCAGACAGCACGATTACACACGAACAATGAGAAACTATGTGAGAAAAAACAATTACGTTAACAAAACAGTCATGGAAATGCAAGCGCAGTAGAGAGGCAGCCATCCTAGTATCATTCGCTATGGCTGCCCGGGTGACATTTCTGACAATCGCTGTCAGGTTGCTGTTAGGATATGTGTGCCCTAGCATAACAAATTCTAATTTTGGATTGTAAAAGTCATGGTTTCTTATTTGGATATTATTATTAAAGCATTATATAATTGGTGAATGGAATGTATTATTTTTCGATTCTTTATGGAATTGATGGTGTCTACTTGATTACAAAATATATTTATATATGTATTTAATGGCAATTCATACTATGATATAAATTAGTAATCATAAATGGTTTAAAGTCGGTAATTATGGATGGACATTTAATTAGTTAAGACTTAAACCGAGTCCACGATAGATTGAGATATATTGCGAGAGCTGTCGTATGAAATTGCTCTCTATCACAGTCATGGCTTTTGACTCTCAAGCATGAGAGAAGTATAGACTCTTTTATTAATTAATAATTACTTTGATTTGTTCAGCGGATACCTCGGGATCCTTAGATCGACACTTTGGGTAGTTATGTAATTAATAATTAGATGTCTATATTCTCAATATTTGCATCAGTGCTATTTGAATTTATTTTGTTTTGATTATGATTGATCACAAATTAAATTCGAAGGCCCTTTGTATGTTTTAGACAAATGTTTTCTATATATATTTATTTAATAAATTATTATTATTTTTTGTCAAATAAATATTTTATTGTGATCGAGCCGGAAATAATCAAAGGTAACAAAATAGTTATATTAATTATGTTGTCGGATTGATGGCTTTAATTATCCGATAAATAATTAAGCATAGAGGGGTCAAAATGCAACATTGACTTTGAGGTTATTTACTATTTAATTGGAGTGCAATTAATTTCTTTTAGTGGAGTAGAAATTAATTTATGAATTAATTGAATTGGGTCCATGGTTTAATGGACCGGACCAATTATTAATTTATAGGAGCCAAGAAAATAGTAAGCCCAAAAGGATTCTCACCAATAGCCCAAGTTGATATTGGAGTCATGTTAGGATTGAGAAAGTTGAATTAGAGATGGAGAATGATTTATTGTTTCCTTATTCTTATTTTTATTTTGCCTATATATACATGAGTTCATGTATATTTCAGAGGGACTTGGAGAACAAGAAAAAGGAATACACTTTCTCTCTCTAGATTTTAGGGTTTTGTTTTCTCTTCTAAAGGAGGCTACCACCAGCCTAGATTCCAAGGTCATTCATCAAGGCATATTGGTGATTCCTAAAGGGAAGATAATAATCGAACGGAAGGAGAAAGGATCTTGCTAAAGGGATCTACAATAAGTGAGAACATTCACTTTAGAGGAAAGTTCAAAAGGTTTACTCAGACCTTTGATGTAAGTATTCAATCTGTTTATTGAATTATGCATCATCTTTTATTTATCTTTGCATAAAACTTGTCTCTGTGTGATGAATCAAGATCCGTGATTACAAATCCCTCAAAAGTTTTAAAAACTTGCACGTTTCCCAACAGTTGTAACATGTTGTATCATAAAATTTATAATCAAGTTGACTGCATACAAGTGGACCCAGGCAAAACAGGAAAAGCAAAGGGAAATTTAGAAGTTTGTGATGACTTCGACTCATATCTTAAATGTGAACAATAACGTCTAAATTTTTCGCAAGAGTAGTGTGGCGAGTAGTAGTGAGCAAAAGCAATTTATACAGAGAGCAAGCTTAAGGAGAATGCGACCGCTGATCTTAATTATGTTTCTTCTTGAGTGGCAGAACCACCATTGATTTTCTTTTAGATGAATTTTGTAAATTTTTCTTGATGGGTGAATACACAGTCAGCCCCAACACAAGGAAAAATGAAATTTTTGAGTGGCAAAGTTCAAGTTGAAATGAATCTTCTAGTTATGAAGAAAATTAACTGGCTTTCAGTGTGATGTTGTCGCTCTCTCTTTGGCCTAATACCTTCACTTTTCAGGTAAAACTCAATGGTGCAGGAGTTGTAACCATATTTTTATCTCAACACCTATATCTATTACTAGCTAGTTAAGTGGAGCTTTTAGGTATTCAGTGTATTTATATATACATATATAGATTAATTCAAGACTTTCATGTAGAACCTGCCATACAGAAGTAGCAATGGATACATAATATATATATATATATATAGATATAGATATAGATATAGTGAGCGGAAACCACCAATTAGAGTGATATGGAGATGGTGGAGGGTAACTAGTTGTCTTAAGAGCTTAATGGACTTAATTCTTTGTAAAGAAAGAATTTAACAATAGCTGGACCTGTTATAGTCCAATTTTAAATTTGTCATTCACCAATAGTTGTTGAATCTGATTTCAATTTAATATGCAATGTTTGTAAATGGGGTAATTTGTGATAATTCTAATTTTCAGCATTTTAGAATTTTCTGAAAATTCGTTAATGCAAGGGCATTTTCGTCTTTTCACTTTACCATCCGGGTTTGTGGTTGGGTCCAGTTACATTTCCTACATTTTAATTTATGTGGTGATGTAGCATTTATATGGTGTAATTGTGTATTTGTGGTGTAATTAGAGACAAAAAATAAAGAGAAAAGGAAAATAATTTCAAGTGGGGCCCACCACTAACTTATTTGGCCAAGAAATCTTCTTTTCTTTCTCATTTTCTTTCTCTTTCCCGTATGCTCTCTCTCTGCATTGCATCTCACTCCATTTGCATTTGTGTGTGATTGAATTTGACTTGTACTTGTAATTATTTTTCCCCTTCAATGCATGTCCCCAATCTCCCATTGGCCTATGCTTTATTTGGATTCACTAGGACATAAGAATTGTGTCTTAAGTGTCACCTGCTGAGCTATATGCTCACTCCTATATCTATATATATTTTTTTCAGGTCTTGGAAAGGAACTGGTGGATGACAACCCACCTCAAGCTTAAACGGCGTTAGAAGTTCACTTTTGTATCTTTGTATATTCCCCATTATTTTGTAAAACACTAGAAGTGCAAAGATGTCTAATTATTTTGTGGAACTTTGTCATGTAATATAACTAAAGTATTGATGATGTTTTGGATGGGGATTTGATAGTATGCAACTTGTTGATGAATGGATGGATAATCCTGGTTTGAAGCATTGTCTAGATTAGTTGGTTGTATCATTATCTTTTGTTGCCGTGAATTCGGAATTTGAGCCATGGCAGGTTAAAAATGAAATTAAACAGGTTGTGATAGGCCTATTTTTAGGGGAGGTCATGCCGAATTTTTTTTTTTGTTTATAAAGTATTAGTTTTGAGTCGTTACAAATTTGGTATCAGAGCAAAGGTTCGAAAACCTTTAGGACGACGGGTAGAGGCCTACTTAGGGTCACATGGAATGTTGTTTGTGTTGCTTACTTGACTACTTGCTACGTGATATTTTACTTAAATGAGCATGCTTAACTGCCTATGTGCTTACTGCTTACTTGTTTATGTTAAAATGTTTCTTGCATAGTCTTGCATGCTAAGTGTTGTACGGTATCAATTCTTGTTGAGTCGTCCACAGTCTTAGTGTCATGTTTCTGAATCGTTTTCTCGTTTTATAGCACGATGTCACGGCGTGAGGAACCTAGAGAAGTTGGCCCTAGGCCAACAAGGGGTGATGTTGGTGAGAGCTCTAGCTCCAATCCGGAGGAGCTAAATGATGAGAACATACTTCTTAGGGACTTGATTCCCCCAAGAGCTATTCCCCCAAGAAGAGAGAATGTTGAAACACCCGTACCCGTAGAAGTGGGTGAAGGTTCTGTGGCATTGGAGTTTAATCGTTTGTTGCAAAATGTCGTGAGGGCAACGATTGCTGCTCAGTCGCAGTCGGTACCACAACCTACAGTTCAAGTTGAGGAGACGCCAGCTCAGAAGCGTCTCGAGATCATAAAAGGGTTTTCTCAGTTGATGCCGGTAGTGTTTGAGGGCAGTGCGGATCCAATGGTAGCAGATGACTACTTGGATCAAGTTGAAACCCAACTAACCTCAATGGATGTGACAGAGGATCACTTGAAGATCATCCTAGCAACTTAAAAGTTTGCTATGGATGCCAAGGTTTGGTGGAAGTCGATCACCAACCAGTACAAGATTGAAGAGATGAGTTGGGACAGGTTCAAGGAGCTGTTTTATGAGAAGTATTTTCCGCTTTCCAAAAGATGGGAGTTACAAGACTAGTTTCATAATCTTATTCAAGGGAACATGTCAGTGGCGGAGTATGAGAACAAGTTCACCTTACTCTCCCGTTTTGCTCCAGAAGTGATGAGAGATGAAGCTAATAAGACTCAGAAGTTTGTTTCCGGTCTTAATGATCGGATAAGGCCGTTGATCATGGCACAGTTCATTAAGGTTTATTCTGAAGCAGTGGAAAGAGCTTTGATGTTGGAGGCTGATAATAAAGAGAAAGATGCAAGAAGAGAATAATGGAAGCAAAAGAGGGGTGCAGGGCTATCTTCAGAGGGATCTTCTTGGAAGAAGAACAAGGGTGGTTCATCTCAGTTTCAGGGACAACAGTCTACAAGATCTGCTCCTGCCACACCTATGCCAGCTGGATCTGACAGGAGTGCAGTTGTTTGTTGTCAGTGTCAGCAGCCTGGGCATTACAAGTCCAGTTGTCCGATGAGATCGTCTTCAGTTTCGTCAGCTCCGAAGGCTTGCTATGGGTGTGGCCAGCAGGGTCACTTGATTCGTGATTGTCCAGGCCAGGGATCAGGCACAGGTAGTGGCAGGAGGTCACGATAGAGGCCGTCTCAGTCGGCTACAGTTCAGTCAGGTTTCAGACCACCACCACCACAGCCTGCCATGTCTTCACAGGGTTCACGGTCAGTTAGGAGGGATACTCCTACTATGTCAGTGCAGCAGTCAGGTGTTCAGGTTGGCAGTCCTCAGGCACAGGTACCACAGGGATGTGTTTTTGCATTGGCACAGACCGATGCATCTTCTGGACCGTCAGTTCTTCGAGGTATATTTCTAGTGTTTGGTTGTTGGGCCCGTGTTTTGTTTGACTCTGGTGCATCTCATTCTTTCAT